GGAAATGATCACACACCTGGCTGCTGTCGCAGTTCTTGCCTACCACCCTCCTCCCTCTTTATCATACCCATGCCCCCTTCCCCTTCCATCCCTGATCCTGCTCCAGTTCCTCCTGCTCAGACCCCTGTGATCCCAGGACACACCCAACCCCAAGTCCAGTGAGGTTCCCCGCACCCAAGATAGCACATAACTCCCTCCTCCTCCAGACTGAGGCTCCCCCCCCTTTTTTTTTGTAAAAGACAAATACAACATTTGTTTTGTTCAAAACCAAACAGGTGACTTTATTGAGAGATCAGAGAAGGGGCAAAGGGATGGGTTGTGATGGAAAAGGGATAGGGCAGCAAGCCAGAGGCTCCTGGTGGGGAGGCCCTGGGGAGAGTTACTGGGGTCCTTGAAAGAAACTCTCAGTCAGGACCTCCCAGGTCCGCACCCCAGCCTGATGGGCCTGGCAAATGACAGCTGTCTACTGCTGCTCGAAGGGTCTCCCCTTGCAGCTGGCATCTGCCCCTGACCCTGGGAGGAAGACCTCCCCCTTCCTCTCCACAATGTTGTGGAGGACATGACAGGCCGACACCACCTTGGAGATATTGTACTTCCCCACATCTAGGCGGGTCAAGAGCCACCTGCACGGCACCTTGAGGAGGCCAAAGGCGCACTCCACCTGGATCTTGGCCTGGTTCAGGTGAGCATTAAATTGGTCCCTGCTGGGCTCCAGATGGCTGGTATAAGGCTGCATTAGCCACGGCATCAGGATGTAGGCCACGTCCCCCATGATGCATAGTGGCATTTGTACATCTCCAACCATAAAGTCCCAGTGGGGGAAAAATGTGTCTGCCTCCAGCTTCCCATAAAGGCTGGAGTTCCGAAAAATCCTGGCATTTTGTGCCCTGCTTGACCACCTGACAAAAATGTCCATGAACTGTCCACAGTGGTTGACCAGGGCATAGAGCACCATAGAAAAATGGCCCTTGCGGTTGATATACTGGGCCACTCCATGTTGTGGTGTGCGGATTGGGATGTGGGTCCCATCAATTGCTCCCCCGTAGTTTGGGAACCCCAGGGCAGCAAATCCAGCCATGATCAGGTCCAGGTCTCCCAGACAGATGGCCCTCCACAGCAGGATGGAATTGATGATCCTCACAACCTGCAGAAGGAAACACACACACACACACACACACACACACACACACACACACAGAATGAAAGAGGGGGTGCCTGAGCCCTTGGGAGGTGCCTGCCCCCCCTTCCATTCCCTCTCCCCCCTCAAACATACCAGGAGCCACCCCCTATGTTACCACCCCCCCAGCAGCAGGGCTGTGTGAGGGTGGGACAGCACAACTGCCAGGGGATGGGGCTTCCCTCCACCCCCGTTTCCTGAGGGTCACCCTTTTCCAGGACTCCCCTGTTCAAGCCCCCCACACACACTCCCCATGCAGTAACTGCAGCCCGTGAGTGCCATGAAGAGGACCCCAATGGTGGACTTCCCCACACCAAACTGGTTGCCCATGTACCGGTAACTGTCTGGGGTGGTGAATTCCAGATGGCGATTGCGACCCACTTCTCTGGGGAATGGCAGGCTGCAGGTGGGTGTCATATCATTGGAGGGCAGGGGTGAGCCAGGCACACAGCTCCAAAAAGGTGGCCTTCCACATGTGGAAGTATTGGAGCCTCTGCTGGTCATCCCACTGCTCCATAATCATCTGGCCCCACCAGTCAGCACTGATGTCCAGCCTGCAGAAATGCCTCTCCACAGTGGTTTATGATTGCCAGGGTGTAGCTCCTGCATCCAGGGAGAGGGTCCCCAAAATGATCTTGGGGTTGAGCTTGGTCAGGACCATGAAGGCAGCCTGCACAAAGTGCTGCAGAAACTGCAGCATAGCTGTGTGGGGCCATCAAGTGCCCAGGGGCAGCTCTGGCTCCATGGCACAAAGGAAAAAGCTGTGGCATCTGAAAAAGCTGGGCAAGTATAGAAGGCACTGCTAAAGCTTTGTTGCCCATTGAAGAGGTAGGCAAGCACGCAGCAGAAGCAGAGAAATGGCTGTCCAGAGGGGTCCCTTTAAGCGCATGTCTATGCTAGGCTCCAGCACCAGCACTCAGAAGCAACTGGGGACCTAAAGCCCTGCCTGAAGGGTGGCCTTTTATGCGAGAGAGCATCCAATCAGTCTGGCTGCTATCTTTCAAAAAAGCAGATCACTTTTTTGATTCGCTTTGGCAGTGTGGAAGACATTTTTTCTGGAAAAGCTTCTTCCAAAAGAAACATGCAGTCTAGACGTAGCCCCAGAGACAACTATGTAAAAGCTACCTTTTCTGACGAAATACTTATTTGCTACTGCCCCCATAAAGAACACTAGCTTATTTTCATTGATATTGTCTTAATGAGGATCTCACAGTGGAAGTGAAGAGCTATTAATTTTTACTTATTTGCATAGAAATACAAGGTTTAAATGGATCCAGAACTTTAAGGCAATGTAAGTAGGTGCTACCCATGTATCAAACTTGCTGTTATAATACAGTAGTTTCTGCTTTATTGTCATGTACAATTTCAGAGTATATAAAACATAGAAAATGGAGTATTTTCAAGGCAGAGTAGGTAAAAAGGACAAATATGGTTTTAGGATATTCTATCACAAAACATAGTTCAAACTTTTCTTTCAGTGTACAAAAGATTCACACTTGATCTAACTAAATATGACAGCATCCATAGATAGCTGTATGAACTCTTCCAGCATATTTTATTTGGTTGGGGGGGGGGGGGGGGGGGGCTTTTTTTGGGCTTTCATTATGAAAGCATGATTTTGTGTACATCTGTGCACATGTATGCATGCTATATCTTACATATTTAAATAGTCACACTATAAAATGACCCAGGCAAGGTAATTGACTATAGGTAACTGAAGTATCATCGTTGGTCAAGTAGCCAGTAAGCAGCACAATTAGTATTTATACTATAATATATGATCTTTTATAAAACTATTGGACTGTTAGCTATAAGTCTGTTATGTAGTTTTGTTCCAAGTATTTGCTTTATAATTTCATTAGATCATTTTACTGTTCATTACATAAACTGTAAACTAGAATACCAAATTCTTAAGGTGAAATCTACTTTAACCCTTTCCTTATATTCTATTGTGTGTACCTAATTGTTTCTTTAATATAATTTGAGGACAAACTTCTTACAAATTAAAGGAATGTGGGTTGGTAACTGCACACAATTAGGACACACTTTAAGGCAGATAAGAAATTAGCAGTGTCCTGATACAAGGGCAAGAAAGCATAGTATTATGACTGTTTTTAACTCTAGCTTTCTTCTTCCTTTATCTTTTGTCTAGTCCGCAGGTTTCTCCTGCTCCCTGAAAGTAATACATAAACCCTACCATTATGGGAAACAAAGCAAGATCCATTCCCATGGTTGAGATACTTCACTTCAACTTGCATATGCTTCTACATTGTATGTAATCAAACAACTGTTATTGCACTGAAGATATGTGGGTCACATACTTAACTGATTGTAGTTTAGCTCTGACTGCAGTAGAGCTATGCAACTTTGCATCTAATGCATCTTTGCATCTGATCTAACTCAAATGTTTTCCTAAGCTATATAGCTCTGTTTACTTAAACTTCCTTAAAATGACTTAGATTTTTTTTTTTACATAAGTTACAGGCTTATTCAAAACCTTTCCTTTTCTAGGCCTCATGTTTGTCAGACTATAGTAGACATAGAGAAGGCCATGATTATGCCAAACTATAAAATGTGACTTTTAAACAATGAAGCTACACTAGACAACTATAAACCACAATATTCAATATCTAGGATAATCAGCCATCCTTAAAATCACCATTAAGCAAAACGCATTTTACAGTAGAGAGCATTTAAATTGAATAGCCTAGTATATCAGTTATTTCCATATTAAAAAAATCCTAAATTGTTTTGAAGAAGTTTAAGTAAACAGAGCTAAATGGCTTAGGAAAACACAACCTGGTGTGTGTAGGCTTCCTTAAACAGCTCCAATAGACGTTAAATGCCATATGTATATGTTTTCCCAGTATTTCCTAATGGGCAGTCCTGAATAATACTTTTGTATGGCATTCATCTTTGCATCAAATTACAAGGACAATAAATACTTCATGCTAATCTGTATATTCAAATGTGTGTGTGCTATCAGTGGAGCACATATTGGCTTAAAAAAAAAGATGCCTGAAATAGAGGCAAGCAAATTTTAAGATAAATCAAGACTTGAGTAAAACTATACACAATGCAGAGTTAAGAGCATTTAGAGTTTGTTTGTAAGTTATCTTCAACTAGTACAAACAGAACTAATCCGAGACCTAAAATGTGCAATGAATTCCCTGGAAACTTGTGCTGCTTGAGGATACTCTGGAGATAATATGAAAATAAAATGCATATTCCAGCATACAAGAAGGATTGGGAGTCAAATAGCAAGAATGTAGATTCCTAGTATGATAGACGGTGGACATATCTTTGAACTCCCATAACGGATTTTTAAGTAGTATACTGTGTCCTATTTCACCATGTTTATCCCCAAGCATATAGATCGTGATTGGGGCTATGTCTATACTGCACTCTTCTTGCAAAAAAAGCCTATGCAAATGAAGTGCAGATTAGCATATTGCAAAATTAATTAGTGGCCGTTTTTGTGCAAGAGGCTTTTATGTAAAAAGGAGCTGTGTAGATGGTTCCTTTTTGCACAAAAAACGCAAAAGCCTATGCAAATGAAGCACAGATTAGCATATTGTCACACTTCATTTGCATAATTAATTAGGGGCCGTTTTTGTGCAAGAGGCTTTTATGTAAAAAGGAGCTGTGTAGATGGTTCCTTTTTGCACAAAAAACCCTTATTGTACAACAGCCGTTCTTCATTTTTTCAGGAAGAACAGCTCTTGCGCAGGAGGGGGGTTTTGCACAAAAAGGAGCTGTCTACACAGCTACTTTTTGCACAAAAGCCTCTTGCACAAAAACGGCCCCTAATTAATTATGCAAATGAAGTGTGACAATATGCTAATCTGTGCTTCATTTGCATAGGCTTTTGCACAAGAAGAGTGCAGTATAGACGTAGCCTAAGAATTAGCTCATTGCTAATCATGTAATAAGCAAGTACTGTATCTTTTAAACTACGCATGGTGTGTATCATTTAGAAGGTAAGATCAAACTCTTGTTAATGCCTAGATAGCCAGTTAAAGTTGTGAAACATAGGAAACCTAATATAACCTTGGCTGGCAAAGTGTTCCAGTAAGTTTGCATTTTTTCCGATAATCTTTCATACCAAGAATGCAGTACATTTTTAGAGAAACAATACCTTTACTATAAAAACACAAATGGTTTTATACAAAAGTGTTACTGGAATTCTGCTTCTGTACTGCAGTAACAGAAATAACTGTCTGCTGACATTTATTTACGTTTCCTTAAAACTAGGTACATGACACCACTGATCAGAGTAAAAACAAATGCAATCCAAGCTAAGATGAAGGAATATCCATATTGGCCATTTAAAATCTCAGATGGGTATCCATGACTCTCGTGCAAATCTTTATGCCTGTTTGTATAAATGGAGGCTGCAATCATAACGCAGAGGCCTGGAGGAGAAAGAAAGCATTAAAGCCATGTCCATCACTCTTTAAAAGATTTAAGACCACTATACTGGCACACTAGGTGTAGCTCTTTAGCCACATTATTTGTCCTCTCTCCAGTTGCTGCTCTTTGCAGACAATTACGTTTCATACTCATCTGCACTTACAGTACCTCAGGGCTTCCAAATCATTTTCTTAGGCCAGATATAAGTAGTCATGTTATTAAAGGCTGAGAGATTTGGGCTTATTTAGTCTACAGAAGAGAAGAAGGAGAGGGGATTTGACAGCAGCCTTTAGCTTCCTCAAAGGGGATTCCAAAGAGGATGGAGAAAGGCTGTTCTCAGTGGTGACAAATGACAGAACGAAGAGCATTGGTCTCAAGATGCAGGAGGGAGGTCTAGGTTGGAAATTAGGAAAAACGATATCACTAGGAGGATGGCGAAGTACTGGAATGGGTTAGCTAGGCAGGTAATTGAATTTCCTTCCCTAAAGGTTAAGTCCCAACTTGACAAAGCCTATGTAGGATGATTGGTCTTGCTTTTAGCAGGGGATTAGACTCAATGATCTCCTGAAGTCTCTTCCAATTCTATGATTCTAAAGATGATATTTTTCAACCAAAACATTTTTGGCAAAAAGGGAGATTCTATGACACCAAAATATTTTCAGAATTAGCGTTTATTTTCACTAATTGCTTTTTTTAAAAGTCCATGAAATCAAAACATTATTTTGAAATATTATTTAAAATCTAGTACCAAGCTAGAAATCTAACTAAAATGTTTGTCACAAAACTAAGGGTTCTTCCCCACTCTCCCAATTTGCTGGGGATTTTTTTCTCAAAATTAAGTACCTACTCTAAAATTTAAAAAAGAGAGCTTTTTTGCCCAGTTCTGTCAGGTACCATGTTGGTCTGAAGGGAAATAGGAAGTTTCCAGGCATTTGGGCAGTTCTAGACCTGTACTTTGTCAAAGTAAGATATTGAACCATGTTCCTAAGTTAATACTGTGACAGAGCAGGCTAAAGGGCTTGATGGGAGGGGAGAGTGGAGAAGGAGTTTGGAGAGTGGAGAAAGAGGAACAAACAACTGATAAAGAGGCTCAGAGGAGCTGAGCAGAACATCACCATCACTGCTAAAGGCTACGGGGGAGGTGAGGAGCTGCGACAGGGAGTGTTTGGAGGCTCCCTTCCCCTCAGGTGGGCTGAAACCTCAGCCAGTGGCTGAGGAGAACCGTTTACTCAGCCCCGACCAGCCAGGGACATCAGCCCTCAATACCCCTTTTGCCAAATGGAGAGAAAAGGCAAGTGAGACTTGTACCGTGGTCCCTAAACTGCGGGATCGTGGGCAGAACAGGGATCTGTGACTCCGAGTGAGACTGTCCCTGCCACAGTACATTTAAGAAACCTATCTGGGTTTTCCTTCAAAATTTTAGCATGATATGCCTCTGAGCAAGAATAATGCCATCTGCTTTTTAAATGATCTGGTTAATGTTACTAAAATTTTAGCCTGTGCTTGAGAATAAACTCACTGGTCAGTTTTTAGAATTAGTCTTGCACTTTTGTTTCATCTGAACAAACTTATCAATTATGTACAACGTTTTTCTGCTTCTACTTTGTGTTGTACCATTGCTCTATTCTGAGCCCTATTTCCTACGTTTAATGTAAGGCTCATTGAAGTGAGACAAAGAGCTACTCACATGACAGCAGCTGAATAGTAGAAGTTAATACAAATCTTTCTCCTTGCTTTAGACGGAAGAGTTGAAGAATGAAAACCAGAAATGCAACACAGCAAAAGATAGTAGACAGGATCATAGTGGCTTGAACAGCCTGCACAGACTGATATTCTGTGAAAATAAAAGTAGGTTTTATTATAAATGTAGCTTCTTCCCCAATCACACTTCCACTACCAGCACCAACCCGTACACTCTCCCAACTGTACTACGCTATTAATGGGATTTGCTGGCTCCCCTCCTCCTTGCAGTTTCCCCTTTCCATTTAAGCCACTGCCTCTGTGCCACCTTCCCACTTCATCACCCTTCCTCTCTGACTTTTCTAAAAGATATGCTGTAGGAATTATGTTGGGGAAGTTCTATTGTCTATACAAGATATATGACTGATGATCTGAGACCCTTTTGGTCTTAGAATATATTACTGCTCTTCCATTAAAGGCAGCTTTTAAAACACTACATGCCAGCTCTGCAAGCACAATTCACAAATGGAGCTTCCTCAGCTATTCCTTCCCAATTCCACCTCTTCCTTTCTCTCAGATGCCTGTGATCTCTTACATAGAGGTAATCTGAGAATATAGCAGTGGAAGTGTTAGCAACAGTGTTCAGGAAAATGGATTCCAACAGTGCTGCTATTTACAGAACACCTGAAGTCCTGGGCTAATGCCTGTCCAGTTGCCTTTTTTAAAATAAGGACAAGTGGACAGTGCAACACTGAGCAGCAGGGCTACTGTAGTACACTCCAGTATGAATGGATGGATCACTTCTGCTTTCTATACTGTAGCCCTATAATGCAGTGTCTGCCAGCCCTGAAGAGGTATGTCTATGCTGCATATAGAGGTGTGAGTGCAGCAGAGGTAAATATTCTTGAGCTAGTTTTAATCTCACTAGCTCAAGTGCAAACATCAGCGAAGTTCTAGCAGCATGAGCAGTAGTGTAGACTAGCTGCCCAAGTATAAGCCTTGGTATGTACTCAAGCAGTGAGCTCATTGCCTTTGATATCTGAGCTAGTTAGAATAGTGATAGAAATGTAGATGTGTTAGTCTGGTGTAGCTGAAACAAAATACAGGACTATGTAGCACTTTAAAGACTAACAAGATGGTTTATTAGGTGATGAGCTTTCGTGGGCCAGACCCACTTCCTCAGATTAAATAGTGGAAGAAAATTGTCACAGCCATATATACCAAAGGATACAATTTTAAAAAATCGACGCTTTACACCTGAGTCTGAATAAAGGATCTAATTATCTTACCCATTACAAAGATAGCTTCCCCAATTATCACCTCTAATTTCATTATCTCACAGACCTCCCCACCCCACCCCACCCCAGTTCTGTTCTGAAATGTGATTTGTCCTTTTCATATGTGTTCATTTTTTTAATTGTATCCTTTGGTATATATGGCTGTGACAATTTTCTTCCACTATTTAATCTGAGGAAGTGGGTCTGGCCCACAAAAGCTCATCACCTAATAAACCATCTTGTTAGTCTTTAAAGTGCTACATAGTCCTGTATTTTGTTTGAGCTGGTTAGATTAACTCTGGCTCATGTGCATCTGCATTCACACTTCTAATTGCTGTGTAGACACCCTTACTCTTGATACACAAAGCCTTCAATAGAACAGACTTTAGGTATTAAAGGCACTGTATCTTCCTCCAAAATAACACCCTCCGATGCCAGCTCTCTTCTACCAGCACAGTGAAACTCAGCCAATGGATGATGGCTCATAAATGCAGTGCAGGGGATTATAGCAGAAGAGGTAAGTGGCCATGAACCTACCAGTTTTCAACTCAGTGCAAAACACTCGGTTAGTTAATATTTTCCTCTGTTTTGACTCATAGCTGGATTTATTTTCGGGATTATCTTGCTATATATTTTAGAAATGTGCGTCTGTCTGTCCATCCATGACTCAATCAAGATTTCCTCCTACATGGTAAGAGCTAGGACCACCAAATTTGGTAAGCAGGTTCCTCTTATCATAACATAAAACATGGTAAGGATTTTGTTGTGCCATGACAAAAGGATATGCCTGGAATTGTATTGTTTCTCATAAAATGGAAAGGGAGGGGTCTGGTAGGAGGAAAAGTTATACCGTAGAATGACCACAGGGGCATCATGGAGTCAGAGATGGGGATTGGGACAGCTATAACCCCATTAACCCAGCACGGAATAGGAATGGAGAAAGGGACAGATTTTTACTACATATTTCAAAGAGTTTGGCCCCCAGTTATAGGACATGCACCCCTCCCCCAGCTGTGCCCGTTGCAGTGGCCATTAGAGGCGCTTCTCACTTGGCCCCAAGCTGCTGTGCTGAGAGAGGGTTGGGGTTGTCCTCTCTCCTCTGATCAGCTGCATACTGAACCCCTCATTCCCATCCCCAGCCCAGAGCAATGATTTAAATGAAGAAAAACAAAACCTTATTTGAGTTAAGGACCCAAGTAATGCCAGATAAATCTTCTAGTAGCTCTATAAACTGAAATGAAAAGGGTTTGGGGACTTTAGTTTTGTTTTGTTTAAATAGTTTGAGGTGCTTACCATAGCCATACCATGATGAAGGCCATAAGCTACCTCTATAGTCCTCATAACTGCTTATTAAACTAACTTTTAGTTAGAAAAATCTTTGTGTTGTCCATCTGTCTATGATCACAAGCATTTTTGTCTTGCCAATATTTTATAGCCTTACATGTCACTTCTTAAAAATAACTTCTAGTTTGACTGCTTAATAATAGTAAGTAATAATACTCACCTGAATTGCTTTCATTAATGACTGTACAGTTGGTGATGTTGACACAGACTTTCCAGACATCTGTGGAAAAGTCTTTTCCTACCCACCAGGCCTGAAAAACATATAAAGGAAATGTATAAAAATTCAGACCATGAAAGTTAGATAAATGGCCTTATTTTTAATGGCTTCTTAAAATGGTATTACACAAGACCATTTTGCTTCTTGAGATAGGCAATCCTTGGAGTCACTTGCCATCCATGCTTCAGACTAGAGCAGCTCCTCTGGGTGTCTCCCTCTCCCCCACCCCTGCTCTGCAGAGATAGGGTTCAGGAGAGGAGAACACCCTGACTTCAGCAATTCCCTCTTACCCCTCCATCCTGTTCTGCACAGCTAGCAGGAGAATCCTGAGAGCGGCTCAACTGAAGGACAGAGCAAGGGGAGGAACAGTGAACACAAGCTTCCGGCTGTAAGTATGCAGAGGCTAACCACTGGGTAAGCTGGAGAGAAATGCTTGGTGGACTGGGATCTGGTCCCTGAGCCTGATGTTGCCCACTCCCAGTTTAGGCAAATGTTTCAGGTGATTTTTTTAAGACTGATTAAAATTGCAGCTTATTCTGATTTAAAACTCCACTTACATACTTGCTTCTAAGTGTGGGACTTGCACATTACTATGTTAGGAGATGCACCAATTTTCTGTTAGTCAGAGGTCCTCTTATCCTCAAGAAAAATAGAGATCAGATTCCTAGCTCCAACTCCTAGAATTCACATTTTCTGAATTTCAAATGTGTTCCCCTAAGGATTAGGGAAAATTTACATGTTTACATTGTTTTTCTAGAATTTTTCCATGCATATTAACATTTTGTATTTCTCCCTATGGCTTTAAACCCTATCAGCAGGTGAGTGGCACTGAAAAGTGTATTGCTGTATATGTATCCAGTGGGGTAGTAAACACCATTGCAATACTATTAATCTATGCTCCATTGCCACTGTTGCCAAAATAACAGAGCTCCATTTGGAGAATTGGGGAGCAAATCTTTCTACCCATCTGTAAATGGCTCCGCCCTTCTTGTGAGCACCTCTTGAGAGCCTTGTAGTCTCTCTGCCCAGCTGTCTGCCGGAGAGAAAGTGTCTGGTACGAGGCATGAGACCAGTTTCTTCTTACTCTCTCTTGTGACTGCTGGGGGTTGGGGAAGACCCAGGCCCACCCACTTCACTGGGTTCTGGTCCAGGGACCCTGTAAGTAGCAGTTACCTGCTGAGTCTCAAAGAGGTTATTTGCTGTCATGTTCCCTGGGCCACTTCCTCAGCCCTTTCTTTTGGGCCCTGCGGTCAAGTCCACCCTGCCCAGGCTTCTGCAAAGTGTGGCCGTTGGCTTACCAGCTAGTCTTCACCCACTGGTTCTAGTTCTGATCAGGTCTGAAGTCCATCTCCCACTCAGACCTATCCAGAGAGCTGCTGTTCTCCCAGGGTATGTCTACACTACAAAGTTAGTTCGAACTAACGGACGTTAGTTCGAACTAACTTTAATAGGTGCTACACTAGCGCTCCGCTAGTTCGAATTTGAATCGAACTAGCGGAGCGCTTAGTTCGAACTAGGTAAACCTCATTTTACGAGGACTAACGCCTAGTTCGAACTAGCTAGTTCGAACTAAGGGCTGTGTAGCCCTTTAGTTCGAACTAGTGGGAGGCTAAGGCTTCCCAGGTTTCCCTGGTGGCCACTCTGGCCAACACCAGGGAAACTCTATGCCCCCCTCCCGGCCCCGGACCCCTTAAAGGGGCACGGGCTGGCTACGGTGCCCGTGCCAGGTGCAAGCCTGCCAGCACCCAGCTAGCAGACCCTGCACCTGGCACGGCACAGAGCCACCCACCCGATGCCCCCCAGCCCACCCCCTCTTGCCGGGACCAGGCTGGCGGCTCCCGGGAGCTTGCCCTGGACCGCAAGAGGCGGGCACCTTCCTGGGCTAGTGCGGACATCGTGGACCTCGTCCACGATCTCCGCACTAGGCACAGGAAAGTGGCCGTCTAGGGCAGGAGAGCTGCCAGCCTGGCCACCCAGGAGCAGGTGTGCATGAAAATCAAGGGGGTCCACTGAGACCCCCGACACTGAGCCCTGAGCTTACAATGGCCGTACTGGGTCAGACCAAAGGTCCATCTAGCCCATAGCCTGTCTGCCGACAGCGGCCAACCCTATGGACCCTGGAGGGGATGGACCGAAGACAGTGACCAAGCCATTTGTCTCGTGCCATCCCTCTCCAGCCTTCCACAAACTTTGGGCAGGGACACCACTCCTACCCTCTGGCTAATAGGACTCCATGGACCCAACCTCCATGACTTGATCTCACTTCCCTTTAAACTCTGTTCTAGTTGTAGCCTTCACAGCCTCCTGCAGCAAGGAGTTCCACAGGTTAACTATTTGCTTTGTCAAGAAGAACAACTTTCTCTTACTAGTTTCAAGCCTGCTACCCATTCCTTTCCTTTGGTGTCCTCTAGTCCTTCTTTATGGGATCTCAGGAAGAACTTTTCTGAATGCACCCTCTCCACCCAACCCCTGCTTTTAGAGACCTCTATCCTGTCCCCCCTCCGTCTCCTCTTTTCTAAGCTGAACAGTCCCAGTCTCTGTAGCCTTTCTTCATCTGGGACCTGTTCCCAACCCCTGATCATGTTAGTTGCCCTCCCCTCTCCCAGCCTTTCTCTTCCCCTCTCCCACCTCCTTTTCCCAGTCTCCCCGAGTTTTGTTCAATAAAGAGAGATTCTATTTTTGACCACACGTTTTCTTTATTTTGTACATCAGGAAGGGGGGCTAGGGAGGGGTAAGTGGAAGGAGGTGAGGGAGGAATGGGGTACGAGCCCCCGATGGGGAGGACTGGGCTGGCTCTGCGGGCTTCTGGGGGTGGAAGCTCTCCTGCAGCCCCCCAATTACTCCCTCTCCCCAGATGGCAGCCTGCGGCAAGTGCAGCCGGGCTGATGGCCGAGTGGTGTGATGTGCCCAGTGTGGGCACTCCGGGCACTCCAAGCCAGAACTTCTTTGCAAGCGGGGCACCCCTTAGAACTGTGTATCCGGGGTGGGGGTCGGGACCCTTTAAGCGCAGCCCTCGGCTAGCCTGAGACAGCATCTCCACGCTCTAAGTCCTCCTCTTATGCCCTGCCGGCACTGCTTCCGGCCATCCTTAAGCCCTGTTCAGAGTCCACTCAATGTGGACATGCTAGTTCGAATTAGCAAAACGCTAATTCAAACTAGTTTTTAGTTCTAGACGCATTAGTTCGAATTAGCTTAGTTCGAATTAACCAATTCGAACTAAGTTAGTTCGAACTAGCGCTGTAGTGTAGACGTACCCCCAATTAGCCCGTAGGTCTACCTGGGTCAAGCTCCAGCAAGGAACTAGCAGCCCCTCTGATTGGCTGCAGCAGAGGCTGCCACTCTCTTCTGCTTGGAGGATCTCTCTTTTGCTCTTGTCACTGTGCAGGGTACAGAAAGGCCTCCAGCAGGGATGCCGGGGCCTAGTCCACCCCATTACGCTATGCGCCTTTGAAATGGCTACAAGACATGAAGGACACAAACCCCAGGATTACACGGTGGTATTTGGCACTGCAGCCAAGCCATATGCCTTCACAGCTGGGCTCTGCCCAGGGTCCCAACATGGGAATGCGGATTTCTTCTCTAGGGCAGCTGCAGTTACTGATTTGAGGGACATGCCCCAACTGAACTTCTCCGACGGCTCCCAATAGGTAGTAGCACAGGGATACCACTGCTCAGCAAATAGCTAGACATTCTCGTTCAATGGTGGAGTACCTAGTTTCTCATGGGTGTAGCTTCTTGCTTAAATATAAGATGGGGTGTTCTACTCCCTGGAAATTCTGAGACAACACGGCCCCCAAACCTAGAGTAGATGCACCCGTGTGTAAGATGAATGGTTGAGAAATCAGATCATCAAAGCACAGGTTGCTGTCCTAAAATATTTTTATACTTTGAAATGCCTTTTGGCATTCTGGTGTCCAATCGACAGCATTTGTTGCTGAAGCCTTGGTTAGATTGGACAATGGAGCTGCCAGAGTTGCAAAATGTGGAATGAACCGATGGTAATAACTTACCCTTACCTGCTTTTTTGTTGTGGGACCTGGGGTTTTATCTAGGGCTTTAATTTTGTCTTGGTAGGGAGTGTGTCTTCTCATTCTCCACCAGATTTCCCAAATACCAGGTCTGCTGCATGCCAAATTTGCATTTCTTGGGGTTTGTCCTGAGCCCAGCTTCTCTCAGTGCCTGCAGAACGGTTGCTATGTGGGTCAAGTGTGATCTCCAGTCTTTCACTAAAGATGACCACGTCATCTAAATAGGCTTCTGTGAAGTGCCCAAAATGTTGCAGCGTCTGATCCATTAGATGGTGGAAAGTGGCTGGTGCCCCATGGAGTCCAAAGGGCATAGTTACAAACTGGAAGAGTCATAGTGGGGTGGCAAAGGCTTTCTTCTCATGAGTCCTCTGTAAGTGGTATTTGCCAATAGCCCTTAGTTTAGTCTAAAGTTGCAATGTATCATGCTTTCCACATGTGGCCCGGGGTACGTGTCAAACAGGGAGACTGCATTTGTGGCTCTGAAATCGACACAGAAACAGATGGTGCCATTGGGTATAGGTACAAGGACCACTGGACTGCATCAAGGGCTTTGGGATTCTTCAGTAATTCCCGAGTCTAACATGGCCCAAACCTCCTGTTCTAGGGCCCCCCAGAGCTTTTCAGGAATATGTCCCGTGTTGAGGTTTAGCAGCTTGAGTTGTCCAGATCTGCTGTGACACCAGATGGGTTTGACCCGGTAGTGAGGAAAAGAGATCGTTGAAATGTTCCAACAGGTTCCTGGCTTGCCATTGCAGCTGTGGAGGTAGGCAGTCCGCAATGGGTACATTAGGAGGGCCTGCCAGGGATTGCACTTCCAGGCCTAAATCCTCTGGTACTTCCTGGGGAGGGGTCTATGAACAGGGCCTCCTGTACTCTTCAGGGTTTTAATAGATTAACATGAAAAATCTGTTTTCCCTTTTTCTTCCTGGGACAGCGGATTTCATAGTCCACCTCTCCCACTTGAGATATAACTTCATAAGGCCAAGAATTGCCATTTGGCCAAGAG